AACGCAGGAGCACTTGTTCCGGTTATGTTTCGTAATTTATGAAGGTGCGTTCTTAGAAAAAAAAAAATTTCTGTAAAAGAAAATTTTTTGTCGTGTGCTTGGGCAGACCGACCTTGAAAATTTTTTTTTTCACCTTTTCGCAATTGAATTGCGGATCAGCGCATGGAAAAGAAAATCCTTGTGCGCCTTCTCCCAGCAGTTTTATGAGGCTGTATTCTGTCGTTACCGACTGAGTTCTAGTCTCGTTGAGTAGACATTTTAGTTAGATTTTCTGTAATTTGGGCCTAAGGTCGGATTTTTCTAGAACAGGACACGTCTCTCGGATCGAGCTCGCAGTTCTTTTTGTTTCCATGTTTCTTTGTGTAACGTTCCTAGCAGGAGACGCTCTGCACTAAAACTTCTGGAAGTTCTGAGTTCGGTCGGGATCTTGCTGATCCCGACTCCAACACCTTTTGCCTCTCGCACGTGATGTGTCTCTCGGATCACATCTACTGCAAAATTTAAAATAAGTCTTTGTATTTTCAAGTACTAGTATCTAGTAATATGTTCACGGAGTATTTTGAAAATATTCAAATTATTTATAATATTTATTGTTACTTGAAGATTTTTGAAACCTTTTGTTAAAATAATTATAACTAATTTGATTTTTTCATAAATTAAACAAAATTTTATGGACATACACTACCGTCCGAAATTGTGCGAACTCTGCCTTTTCAACAACTATAAAACTGTTCAAATCTTCAAAAATATTAAAACTAAAATTTTGTCCTCTTTATTTTATTAAAGTTAATAAAATTCTGAAAGAAATGACACCTTGACAAAGAGAATATGTTAATTTTTCAATTAGATATCTAAGAAAAACCCAATTTTCAATGTTTTTACTATTTTTTTTATTTCTTTGTCAAAAATTAATATTTTTAAACGTTCTTAGGCTCATTGAAATCGTATTTTGTTATGCAATTCAAATTATATAAAACAATTCATGTACACATTCTTCCCTGGCGTATGCAAACCGTGAAAGTTGGCTCATAAAATGTCAAAAAATTTAAATTTAATTCTACAATAAAATATAATGTTTCAAAATCAAGTAAATATATCATTCTAAACTTCTCTGATTTATGTAAGTAAATTTAAGATTTATACATTTTACTGATCATTTTTTGTCATATAAATATTAATCACAATTTTTTGACATTTTATGAGCCAACTTTCACGGTTTGCATACGCTAGGGAAGAATGTGTACATGAATTGTTTTATATAATTTGAATTGCATATCAAAATACGATTTCAATGAGCCTAAGAACGTTTAAAAATATTAATTTTTGCCAGAGAAATAAAAAAAATAGTAAAAACATTGAAAATTGGGTTTTTCTTAGATATCTAATTGAAAAATTAACATATTCTCTTTGTCAAGGTGTAATTTCTTTCAGAATTTTATTAACTTTAATAAAATAAAGAGGAAAAAATTTTAGTTTTAATATTTTTGAAGATTTGAACAGTTTTATAGTTGTTGAAAAAGCAGAGTTCGCACAATTTCGGACGGTAGTGTATCAGTGAGTAAATGTACTTTGAAGTAATGAAATGAAAATTTTAAAAAATTAGTTTTTTTAAATTTTTAATAATTTTTTATAAACAATTGAAATTTTAAGTGCTTTCTACACGCGATTTGTTCAAATTTTTTTTTGCTACTTGTTCTTTAAAATGTAGTTAAACAAGAAATGAAAAGACATTTTTGGGCAAATGAAACGGTTTTCTATAATTTGACTTTATATATTGCGCGCAAGCACTGCCGCGAGAGAGCCACGGACGTTTAACGGCGCCCACCCTGTAGTATTTAATTTTTCTTTGGTATCAGTTAGGTTTTTTATAATATAATATAATATTTTATAATAATATATTTTAACCTTCGCCGGATGGGATACCCACCCAGTGTGGGTCAGACCGAATTAAAATTGTCATATCTTCTAAAGTTTTGCCTAAAATGAATCGCCATTTTAAGTCACTAAACAAAATCTAAAGGACTTTCAAAAAATGTAAGAACAAATTTTTTTAAAAAAGTTCTTCTTAATTATTTATAACTTTTATCAATGTATGTACGGAGATTTTAAAATTTATTTTTTTCATTCTATTTTACAAAAAGACTTGAAATCATCCAGACTTTTCACTGTAAGTGTTTTATGTTGTCAAATAATGGACATAAAAATATTATATGGCATTTTTTATTTGTTTAAACAATTTATTGTTATTATTTATTAATTTTTTTTCTTCTGCACCTAGAAAGATGCATTTTTTTCTAATTTTGTAATTTATCTAGCTGAATATAATAAAACATAGATTTGGTGTAAAATTATTAATTCAACTATTGTTTAAACAATTTATTGTTGTTATTTACTAAGTTTCTCTCTATTGCACCTAAAAAAATGCAGTGAAATACAAAAAAAGTTAATAAATAACAACAATAAATTGTTTAAACCTTTATGCTATTATATTATGCTTGTTAAGTTGCCAAATTAGGAAAAAACTGCATCTTTCCAGGTGCTCTACAAAAAAGTTAATAAATAGCAATAATAATTTGTTTAAACAATTTATAATAATAGTTATTGCAAATCTAATTATATATTTTATTTTATTTATAACCTTTAAATTAATATCTTCGAAGAAAAGGTAAGAAATTTATATAATTTTGCTACTGTCTATGAACATTTGAGAAAGTTATAAATTATTAATAATAAATTATTTAAACAAATTAAAAATCAACAAAACGTTAATAAAATATTTAATTTGGTAACATATAACAATTTCAGAAAAAAACTGGATGAATCCAATTTTTTATTTCAATATATAAAGAAGAAAACATTTAACCCACCCTGGGTGGATTCCCGTTAACGGCGTATATAAAAAATCTCCACTCCGGCGAAGATTAATATATATTATAATATTTTATAATATAATATAATATTTTCTATACTATTAGAAACATTTACTTTAAATCGATAAATGCGACAACCATCGAATGCAAAAAATTGTTATACGATAACAAATCGATAATCAATACTTTGTTCAAAGCAAAAAACATTAATACTCCATTGTAAAATATAAACAAAAGTATTAAATAAATCAATCGATACATATATTTTGTTACCACATTTAAAATTGGGTTAAATTCATTTCTCAAAAGTACTGACATGCAGAGTGGGCGCCGTTAAACGTCCGTGGCTCTCTCGCGGCAGTGCTTGCGCGCAATATATAAAGTCAAATTATAGAAAACCGTTTCATTTTCCCAAAAATGGCTTTTCATTTCTTGTTTAACTACATTTTAAAGAACAAGTAGCAAAAAAAAATTTGAAAAAATCGCGTGTAAAAAGCACTTAAAATTTCAATTGTTTATAAAAAATTATTAAAAATTTTAAAAAAAACTATATTTTTAAAATTTTCATTTCATTACTTCAAAGTACATTTACTCACTGATATGTCCATAAAATTTTGTTAAATAATGAAAAAATCAAATTAGTTACAATTATTTTAACAAAAGGTTTCAAAAATCTTCAAGTAACAATAAATATTATAAATAATTTGAATATTTTCAAAATACTCAATGAACATATTACTATGTTACAATACAAAGAAAAATACAATACAATACAAAGACTTATTTTAAATTTTGCAACTTTATAAAAATAGGGGGGCCACTTCAGGAATTTTTATTCTATTACTAATTTACGGAAAAGTAGGTTTAAAAAATATTACGTAACAAAAAATGGGGGTGTGGCGACTGAGGGATAGCCCCCTCACTTTTCGCCCCTGACAAGCGGTTTCTATTAAGGTGAGGTTAGATCAGTTTAGCCGCGAAGTCAGTCAGCGTTTGCTACTTGTACTTTAAGGACGCACTTGCGTCAGCCGACCGGTCAAGGCTTTATAATCTATTGTTACAATTATACTTATTGTTAATTAGTTCTGGATATAATAAATACTTTAGTTCGTTATAATTACTTGTGTCGTATATCTTTATTTGGGCGATCACGCAAAGGACAGTAGCGTCCACCTACATAACCTCAACTACTCCAATCTTGCTTGAGGGAAATAATTGCATCTACTGCACAAATAGCTACAGGGGGATCGTTATCTACTGTTCCGATAGTGTTACGAGGGGAAAGGGATAGTCCAAAAATTTCAAAAAATAGCGTTACGTAGTATATGGATGATCCCAAAGCTGTATGCCAATTGCCAGAAGTGAAAATTGTTGCAAAGTTGTTTAAATATGAGAATAAATATGGTAATATTAGTATTAATTGCACAGGATTACAAATTCGGGTCAACTTTTGGACTTAAAAAGATAAGAACGTTTCTTAACGTATTTTTTATGCTAAATTCAAATGCATTTTTAGATTTTCCTTATCACGTGAAATTTCAAAATGTCGGAAAAAATCTGACTTTATATTTGTAATCAGCGACCCCAAAAACCTACGAGTAACGAGTTTCTGGCAACTGGTATACAGCTTTTTAAAGACACTACAAACCAGAAAACGAAGTTGCCAGAAATGCTCTTTATAAGTGCATTTTTATCTATTTTCTTGCGACTTTATTGACTGTCAAGGTCAAATTGACGACTTAGAATTCTGACAATAATTTTACGTGAATTCTAATGTTAATATCTACTACCATACTAAGTTTCAGACTTGCACCTCATCATTTTTTTCATAAAAATTTGTATCTTTTACCTCCCACCCCCATTTTTGTGACCAAAGCGCCTTCTGGTGGCAAGATTATGTTCAATTGTCAGATACTCGTCCGGCCCGTAATTATGTGACTACGTTACTATCTTTTTTCTCTTTTTATTATATTTCCCTTATCAAAAACTCCATTCTTAATATAATTGTTATTTTTAATGTTTATTTGATTCATAATTTTTTAAATAATAATTGATAATAATTTTTAGTATAAATCTTTATCTATTGAAATACCACTTCATAACGTTTTATATTCATCAATATCATCTTACCTAGCTTGGAAAAATAACATGAGTGAAACAGCTAAGTATGCAGTTGCCATATACATCCAGACATCAGTTGATAATGGTGATAAGAATGAAAAAAGATTAGGTTCCTTGTCTTCTGGATGACTAAATAGTATGCTTATTCCTAAACAATAAAGAATTTGTTAATATTTTTATCAATATTAGTTAATTGTGGTTCTCTGAAAAGAAAGTGTTTTAGTCATGACAAATACGATGATTCAGAGAATATTAAGGAATGTAAAATTAAGAAAATCTATGATAAGTATTTTAAGAAGTTTTGTGTGTGAATGTTTTGGCATGCAGACTATTTTGAGCAGGATGTAGTCAATAATAATACACAAATACGGTTTTAAAACAGTAATTTATTCGGAGGACAAAGACGATCGAGACGTTCATGGTTGCAGCAAAATCAAGAAGGGGAGAAGAAGTGCGTGTGCACACGGTAGTGACGTACGAGTAACTACTGCTAGAGTCAAGTGAGATATATTAGGCGCGAATATATAATATTTCAACACTTTCTCCCGAGATTGACTCGTTTACAATATATATATATATTTAAAATTATTTATTTTAAAAATTTCAGACTTAACCCTCTTTAACTTTTACTCCAATTTTTCTAGCTTTTTGTATTTGATTAGATTTCAAGGAAAGAAGAAACAAATATATCTTAAAAAATTTATTTTTATTTTTTTATAAGAAAACAGAAAAATGGGGTATATTGCTTAGAGGCAACATTGAGTGAATCCGTCTTGAAAAACTAAGATAGGTGAAAGCTTTTAAAACAATTCTTGGTTTGTATAAAACATAAAGTAACTTCGTGGGTAAAGCCATAACATTTTGGAAATTTACATTGGATTTTTTTATCAGACCTCACATTTGGAGATTTTCCTAAAATGGTGGCCAAAATTAAAATTTCTCCAAGGACTTAAACATTTTTTTCATAGAATATTGGTTATATATGTCAAAATTCATGAAGTGATCCAACTTCAAAATTGAAGGTTTTCATATCGGGCTGAAATTTGCACCAACTTTAGTACTATGGGTGAGTACTTAACCCATAAATTATTATTAAGTTTTATGCAAAACTGTAGAGGAAGAAGGGGGTTCAAGTTTCTCGTCAAATGTGAACAGACGATTTTTTAAAAAATCGTAACTTCTATATAAATAAATAAAAAAATTTTGACCTATATGTTTTCAGGAGGTTTTTTTCTGCTCTTTCAAATGGTAAGAAATTGTTTTTTTAAATTTAAAATTTACCCCTTTTTTGAAAATCAAAAATACTTTACCAGAGATATATACTTTCAATACCAAGAAAAACTAGAATGATTTTTTTGTTTTCGAGATATTAATTAATTGATGTTTATAACAAATCAAATATTTTACAAACAAATAAAGTTATTATACTTCTGAAGTGAGCAATTGAAAGTTAACGTAATTCCGCATCCAACGAGCCCTATATAAAGTATTTTAGGTAAGTAGATTGTTAATAAACAATAAGTAAACATTGCAATGGTTTATTAACAATCTACTTATTCAAAATGGTTCATATAGGGCTCGTTGGTTCGGAATTATCTTAAATTACAATTGACAAGTTCAGAATTACGATAACTTTATTTGTTTGTAAAATATTTCATTACATTCTCATCACATGAAGAGGTATTATAATTGGGCGAAAATTGACTTTTTCTATTTCCATAAAATCTTCACGTTTTGAGGTGCCCTGAATCGAAAAATCATGGTCCGGCGAAAGTATGTCTGTATGTATGTATGTCTGTCTGTCCGTAGACACAAAATGTTGTTGACACAATAACTTTTGTAAATCGAAGCGAATCGACTTGCAACTTTGCACACACAAAGTTAGTGTCAAAATACAGGCCAAGTTCGTTAGCCAGCCATTTTCATCAAAAAATGCAAAAACTGCAGGATTTTCAAAATTTTGAAATTTTAATTAGAAAAAATTTTTTTTTACTACATAGCTTTATAGTTCAGGAGAAAGCAAACAACTTTTTATGTACAATTTTTTGATTAAAATTAAATTGTAAAGGTTACAGTGGTTTAAATGTCAAAAAATATAAAAAAAACCTTTTTCATAAAAAATTAAATTTTATTAAAAGGGTGGAAAAATCAGTCCATAAAATTGACACATTCTCATTACAATAGATTCAGAAAATACGATACAAGTGAAGAAAATAGCAATTTGGCAAAAAACCACTGTATATACATATTATTTATATTTTTTACACAGAAATCAGACTTTCTGACTCAATTATCTCGTAAATGTATTCGTTCGCTCAAATGTTTCAATTAATTGAAAAATTCAAATACTCAAAAACTTTCGAACACAAAGCGCGAGTGCCATAATGAGAATGTTATCCATAAAGTCCAAGAACTTTAAGCAAATTAATCCTATATAATAATATAATTGTTATATTAATATATTATAATCCTTCTTTTTATATTAAGTTCTAAAACGACCGACAGCGACCGACACTAAAACAAAATTTTTCATTTTCTTTTATAAATTATTTACAGTTTTCCTTCAAAATTTAAAATCACATACCTTACACACAAGTCTATTCAAAAAATATGCCAAATTTTTTTTTGCAATTTTTTTATTTTTTTCTGCTAATAGCACATAAAATACGTCACTATTTTAAATCTGAGCCGAAAAATTTTATTTTTCAGAAAGTTATGGCGATTTTCATTTTCCCTCATATCGTTCTTATTACATATAATAATTTCAAGTAGCTGTCTGTCCCGCATGTTCTATATATATTTTGTCTGTCCGCATGTATTACTATACATATAAAATTCTTTCTCACCACATTTGAAGAGTGGGATATGTATCCCTTCCTTATGGTGTCAACTAGAGAGAGAGAGAGAGAGAGAAAGGAAGAAAGAGAGAGGGAGAAGCGGAAACCATTTTGTCAGCCCACATTTGAAGAGTGGGATATTTAGCCCTCCTTTATGGTGTGAACAAAAGAGACAAAAGAAGAGAGAGAGAGAGAGAGAGAGAGAGAGAGAGAGAGAAGTGTAAACCAATAAAATTTTTAAATTCTCCCTTCTGTCTACTTCAATATACAAACAAAAAGGAAAATGATTTTCTTATTGGTTTACATAGATAGCGCATGTCCAATTCATTTTCAATATTTTTACTTGATAATTCGTTAGAAATAATTTTTTTCAGTTTAATAATTATTAATAAAAAAAAGTGTGCATTTATTTAATGTTCGGTAGTGTTCAACTGATTGTAAGAAGAAAAAACTTATTTTCATCTGTAAAAGTAAGTAATCTTCTTTTTATTAAACTAATTAAGGAAAAGAAGCATAATAAAACAAAAAACTTTGGAATATAATAAATATATTGCTTAAGAAATTTTTTTCTTTAGAATCCAATGAATCCATCTATTTTTATAATTTAAATATTAAAAAAATGTCCTCCTCATGGTAATATTGATCACTGTCATAGCAACGGTTGCTTTAGAAATGAACTATTACCATAGCAACTATTGCCATAGTAACTTTTGCTATGATAACTATTGTCATAGTAAGTAACTTTTGCCATAGTAAGTAACTGTTGCCATGGAAGCGGTTACCATGTACGACGGCCGGACGAACGCCAAAACGAAACTATAAGGCTTTCGGCCCTGGGCTACGAAACCATAAAAATTATTAAAACTTGCGGTGTACTGTAAAATCCCAAAACTTTGACCTCTTCCTCCTCGGAAAATACGGATCTATAATCTAAATGAAAAAATATTTTTACCGAAAATTAACATTTATGAGAACTACAACTGCATCGAGTATAAGCATGTTTGAAGAAAAAATTTTTTGAACCATGATCACTTAACGTGTGATCCCCCATTAACATTTGGATATTCAACATATCTTAGGAATGTCCTGGGGATCACCGGAAAGTTTAACAGCCCTAAAATGTCTGAGGTATATCCGTAGATATCTTGAGGACATCCTAGAGATATACAAATTTCCGGATGCTGGTAGGACGTCCATAGGATATTATTAAAAGTCCGTTGCTGTTAGGGGGTAATAAAAAATTCTTACATTAAATGTCTTTCAAACCACATAAGAATATAACCAAAATATTTTATGTAAAAAGGCGAAATTTTTATTAGACAGTCAGTTAAAAAAGAAAGAACGTTAATTGAAAGATTCAACGAGTAAAACTAATAAAAAGAGTAATAAGAAGTTTAAAACATTAGGAATAGCTATTATTGCTTTTAATGAATTTAATGAAAATATAATTTTACAAAATTATTTATGTTTGATGAATGTTAAATGTAAGCATTGTAATTCGTTAAACTTCTTGTGTGAACAGCCGTCAGATAAAGAATTTAGTAGTTGTCATAAGGGTAAAGTAAAGTTTTTTTCGTATACACGGTCAGATCTATCATACTACATATTCACTTCATCCAAATCAAGGTGATAGACGTAGATCTAGGTCTGTGTTGTTACTCTGTTAGGTAACATCTAAAACGATATTCTACTATCGTTATAGAAAAATATAGAGCATTATTCTGCAAAATTCGTTTTATATAATTAATTCAGAATACGAAAGTTGAAAATGTTTTCGAAATTTTGTTCTCTTTTTATTGTATACCTAACAATTTTAAGTAATGTTTACATACTTTTTAAAATTCAGTGTTGTTTAACAATTTTTTTTTAAATTATAAATTTATTCTAAATTTTTTCAAATAAAAACAACAAAAATTCTTTACAGTTTTTGTAGAAATTACAAATATGTGATATGAAATGAATTTAACCTTTGAAAATATAAATGTTTCAATGCAATTATTTACTATATTACTATTTATTTATTAATTTCTATATTCACACAATTTTACTTTAACAATTATTGTAAAGCATGTTATGTTATTAAGACAGCTATTTATTGTTAGACAGCTATTTATTACACAGGCACACAAAAAAAAAAAAGTTGTCTGTTTCTTGAACTACACATATATTTCCTATAGTATTTTGGCCCGCTGAAACCGAATCTGAGCTCAGAATTGCTCCATCACCCTCAGTTTTTTTTTAAATCGACCAAAACCACCCTTAAACGGACAAATTCACACTTCGGAGATAAAAAATAAATCAACTTATTTTA